AAATGTCCACCGGTAGAGGGATGAAAAAAGAAAATGCCATGTTCTACAGTGGAACAGCGTGCAAGGCTTAAAAGCAATAAAATCAATCTACGGATACTGATACAGAACTCAAACTCATATTGCTGTATGTGTACATGAGGTGTATAACATGATATGTTTTTTATTTTTTATTAAAAAAAATTTTTTTTTACATTTATTTATTTTTGAGAGACAGAGCACAACTGGGGGAGGGGCAGAGAGAGAGAGGGAGACACAGAATCCGAAGCGCGGGCTCCAGGCTCCGAGCGGTCAGCCCAGAGCCCGACGCGGGGCTCGAACCCACGAACCGTGAGATCATGACCTGAGCTGAAGTCAGATGCTTAATCGACTGAGCCACCCAGGTGCCCCTGATATGTTTTTTAAATATCACATTTTCTACGACTGCCTACAGGCCTGTATGTCAATATGTATTGGAAAGGTCTGAAATGATATGTGCACACATTCCACAGTAGTTACTCATCTAGAGGGGGTTGCAGACCAGGACTGTGAGGACAGAGATGATCAAAAACGTCTCTAGCTTAATATGAAAATTTTTATTTTCATTTATTTTTATTTATTTAAAAATTTTTTTAATGTTTATTTTTGAGAGAGATAGAGTATGAGCCGGGGGAGGGGCAGAGGGAGAGGGAGACACAGAATCGGAAACAGGCTCAGCTCAGAGCCTGATGTGGGGCTCAAATTCACGAGCTGTGAGATCACGACCTGAGCTGAAGTTGGACGCTCAACCAACTGAACCACCCAGGCGTCCCAATTTTTATTTTTTATTTTTAAGGGGCACCTGGGTGGCTCAGTCGGTTAAGCGTCTAACTTCGGCTCAAGTCATGATCTCACGGTTTGTGAGCTCAAGCCCCGCATCGGGCTCTGTGCTGACAGCTCAGAGCCTGGGGCCTGCTTCGGATTCTGTGTCTCCCTCTCTCTCTGCCCCTCCCCTGCTCATGCTCTGTCTCTCTCTGTCTCAAAAATAAATAAAATGTTAAAAAAATTTTTTTTTAAGTTTATTTATCTTGGGGCACCTGGGTGGCTTAGTAGGTTAAGTGTCCGACTTTGGCTTAGGTCATGATCTCACCGTTCGTGTGTTCGAGCCCCGCGTTGGGCTCTGTGCTGACAGTTCAGAGCCTGGAGCCTGCTTCAGGTTCTGTGTCTCTCTCTCTCCCTGCTCATGCTCTGTCTCTATCTCTCAAGAATAAATAAACATTAAAAAAAAGTCTCTTTATCTTGAGAGAGAGCACACATGAGTAGGGGAGGGGCAGAGAGAGAGAGGAAGAGAGAGAGAATCCCAGGCAGACTCTGAGCTACCCGTAGCAGAGCTTGGCGTGGGGTTCGAAACCACAAACCGCAAGATCATGACTTGAGCCGAGACCGAGAGTCAGATGCTTAACCGACTGAGCCACCCAGGCGTCCCTATATGAAAATTTTTAATTTTTAGAAAGTAAACCAGAGTTAACTATTCCTTGTGTAATTAAAAATCAAAATTTAAAATGTACCAAGTTCATAGCAGAAACAGCATGTTTATTTTTTTGTGTTTTTAAAAAAAGTTTTTTTTAATGTTTATTTTTGAGAGAGAGAGAGCATGAGCAGGGGAGGGGCAAAGAGACAGGGAGACACAGAATCCGAAGCAGGCTCCGGGCTCCGAGCTGTCAGCACAGAGCCCGACGTGCAGCTTGAACCCAAGAAACACGAGATCACGGCCTGAGCCAAAGTCGGACGCTTAACCGACTGAGCCACCCAGGCGCCCCTTATGTTTTGTTTTGTTTTGTTTTGTTTTGTTTTGTTTTGTTTTGTTTTGTTTTGCTTTGTTTAAGGAAGTCCTAGGCCCAGTGTGGGCCCCGAGTTCATGACTCCAAGATCAAGGGTCACATGCTCCACCGGCTGAGTCAGCCAGGTGCCCCGAGAGACAGCACGTTTAGACCCCTGGGGGCTCGTGGCAGGTACTGTTGCTGGAGCCGGGCGTGGGGCGCACACAGGGCTAACTCGACACGGTTCGCCCGGTCTCTAACGGGGTCCGTGGAAACAGCCTCAGGCCGTGCGTGAAAAGCTCTTGAGGATGGTTCTGAATGAAGACTCCGAGAATGACAGATAAGGGGACACAGAAGATGCTACCCCGTCCGGAATACCGAACACTCCTCAGTCCCAAGATGTGGGTGGGGAGCCATGCCGAAGCTCTGCCGTCCATCACAGTCGGTCCAGACTCCTTGGCCTGTCCGTCCAGCTCATCCCAGCTCACGACGCGTCCCACCATCCCGCCCTCCAGGCCTCTGCACGCAACGCCGGGCCCCGCCACCTGGCCAGCCCTCCTCGGCGCCGCGCGGCCGACACCGTATAATCGTCCTTCGTCCATCCATCACCTTGCCAGTCCCTCCACACAGGTTCAGTTTGTATCAACTGTGCCAGGAATGACATACCCTGCCAGAGGTCCTCACTGAGGTTCTACGACCTCATGTCAAGGGTTTGGTTGTGTGGTGATGTCTTCAAAAACGATACAAACCACTTCTAGGCAGTGATTTAAGCTCAACAGACAGATATCCCACTTTGGTCCTTACTCCAGAATTCTGAACTGGACGACATTGCTCTTAAACGTCAATTAATGTGAAAATTTCCAAAGCCCCCTCATCAGATTAGGCTGGGAGCTCCTTCCCGCAGGAACAGCAGCCCAGGGCCTCCCGTAGACCAAAACTTAATATCTATTTTTTGAAAGGACGGAGAAATGAGGAACAAAACGAACTCTCCTCGGCTCCCCAATACGGGTAGGAAATTCTAGTGACGCTTCACTGTGTACCATCAGCCGTCAGAGGCCTGAGTCTGCCATTCGACCACGTGTGCACAGGCACACACAGCCACGCACGTGCGCGAGGTCAGTGAGGCCTCCTCCCCCTGGGGTCCCCGCTCCACTCAGGTCTGTGTACAAACCGCGTCTCAGACACCCCGTTCCCCGGAGTCAGCCCCGCAAGGTCACGAGCCCCCGGGCCCGGGCCCCGCTCTGCCGCCCCCACTCACCCCATTCTCTGGCGTGGCCAGGGCCGAGTACAGCTTGCAGAGGGAGATGATCCCACTGTATTCCGGGAGGGGCACCAGCTCGTTGCAATAATCCTTCTTGAAGGTCAGCATCTTGTCGATGAACTTCTCGAACATGCGCTCAAGGGGCTCGGCCTCAGCCTGGAGTCCACGAGAGAGGACTCTCGCTCTACGTCCCGCAGGCTGCACTGGTTACCCGCCCTCTCCTCACCCCAACCCTGCACACCTTCGGTCTCCTCTCCAGCCAGGACTGAACATACGGCTTCCAGCCCAGGTCAGCGTAGTCAGTATAGACCATCCCGCAGCGAGACACAGTGGCGGGAGAGGCCACGGCCAAGTTCTCCACCTCGAACAGCAGCGACACCTGAGGACACGCTGGGTCAGAGCTTCATCCTTCGGCCACCCCACCCCCATCAGGAGAAATCACTCGGGACTCGATGCCCCCAAGTGTCTCTGTCCGAGCGCCAAGAGGGGCAGGGTGATTGATGGCCTATGGCTTACAAATGACTTGCATTTTAAAAGAATTTAGAGCTCGTTCAAGGTTAAGCTTATGGAAAACCTCTCTGTCTCTGTCTCTGTCTCTCTCTCTCTCGCTGGCTCGCTTGCATTGTGTGGGTGGGTGGGTGGAGAAGGGTGGGCTTCACAGCCAGTGAACACGTAACCCCGGGCAGTCGGCGAAGGCGGCACGGACTTCTTTCCCATCAGCTGTTCCCACCGTCCGTGGGAGACGGGTCTCCCTGGACCCAGGCAGCCTCCCCCCCTTCCTGGTCCCTCAGAGCTGCCCCTTCCCCCCCACCGAGCCCTGCCTCGTGCCCCGGGTCCCCAGCTCCGCAGGGCCGGCACCTGTTCGGGCATCGCGATACGCTCCCCATTGATGAGGGTCAGGACTTTGTTATCGTCCATGACAGAGTTCATGCTCTCGATCCACAGCGTGTCCACGGGGCCGTCGAAAAGGATCCACTTCTCATCGGGCTTCTCGTCTTGGTAGGAGGAGGACGGTCAGGAAGCCAGGACTTTCTCCCCAGACCTCCCTTCCCACTCGTGTCCCCAGAGAGGCAGGCGCGAGCCCCCTTGTACTCAGCATGCCCCGTGCGGTCGTCTCCCAAACGTGAGCCTTCCAGCCCCCGCCCCCCC